CTTCCACATTTAGTAGGGCTTCCAGACATTTAGCTTCCACAACTATAGTAGGGCTGGTAGACATTTAGCTTCCACAACTATAGTGGGGCTGGTCAGACATTTAGCTTCCACAACTATAGTGGGGGCTGGCAGACATTTAGCTTCCACAACTATAGTAGGGCTGGCAGACATTTAGCTTCCACAACTACTATAGTGGGGCTGGCAGACATTTAGCTTCCACAACTATAGTAGGGCTGGCAGCTTCCATTTCTTCAACAACTATAGTGGGGCTAGCAGACATTTAGCTTCCACAACTATAGTAGGGCTGGCAGACATTTAGCTTCCACAACTATAGTGGGGCTGGCAGACATTTAGCTTCCACAACTATAGTAGGGCTGGCAGACATTTAGCTTCCACAACTATAGACTATAGTAGGGCTGGCAGACATTTAGCTTCCACAACTATGTGGGCTGGCAGACATTTAGCTTCCACAACTATAGTAGGGCTGGCAGACATTTAGCTTCCACAACTATAGTAGGGCTGGCAGACATTTAGCTTCCACAACTATAGTAGGGCTGGCAGACATTTAGCTTCCACAACTATAGTAGGGCTGGTAGACATTTAGCTTCCACAACTATAGTGGGGCTGGCAGACATTTAGCTTCCACAACTATAGTAGGGCTGGTAGACATTTAGCTTCACAACTATAGTGGGGCTGGCAGACATTTAGCTTCCACAACTATAGTAGGGCTGGCAGACATTTCCACAACTATAGTGGGGCTGGCAGACATTTAGCTTCCACAACTATAGTTTAAGACTTATTAGGGCTGGCAGACATTTAGCTTCCACAACTATAGTAGGGCTGGCAGACATTTAGCTTCCACAACTATAGTAGGGCTAGGACATTTAGCTTCCACAACTAGTAGCTGGCAGACATTTAGCTTCCACAACTATAGTGGGGCTGGTAGACATTTAGCTTCCACAACTTTAGTAGGGGGGCTGTCCACAGACATTTAGCTTCCACAACTATAGTAGGGCTGGCAGACATTTAGCTTCCACAACTATAGTGGGGCTGGCAGACATTTAGCTTCCACAACTATAGTAGGGCTGGCAGACATTTAGCTTCCACAACTATAGTAGGCTGGCAGACATTAGCTTCCACAACTATAGTAGGGCTGGCAGACATTTAGCTTTCCACAACTATAGTGGGGCTGGCAGACATTTAGCTTCCACAACTATAGTAGGGCTGGCAGACATTTAGCTTCCACAACTATAGTGGGGCTGGCAGACATTTAGCTTCCACAACTATAGTGGGGCTGGCAGACATTTAGCTTCCACAACTATAGTAGGGCTGGCAGACATTTAGCTTCCACAACTATAGTGGGGCTGGCAGACATTTAGCTTCCACAACTATAGTGGGGCTGTCAGACATTTAGCTTCCACAACTATAGGTGGGGCTGGACAGACATTTAGTAGCTTCCACAACTATAGTAGGGCTGGCAGACATTTAGCTTCCACAACTATAGTAGGGCTGGCAGACATTTAGCTTCCACAACTATAGTGGGGCTGGCAGACATTTAGCTTCCACAACTATAGTGGGGCTGGCAGACATTTAGCTTCCACAACTATGGTGGGGCTGGTAGACATTTAGCTTCCACAACTTTAGTAGGGCTGGCAGACATTTAGACATTTAGCTTCCACAACTAAAGTGGGGTTGTCAGACATTTAGCTTCCACAACTATGGTGGGGCTGGCAGACATTTAGCTTCCACAACTATAGTAGGGCTGGCAGACATTTAGCTTCCACAACTATAGTGGGGCTGGCAGACATTTAGCTTCCACAACTATAGTAGGGCTGGCAGACATTTAGCTTCCACAACTATAGTAGGGCTGGCAGACATTTAGCTTCCACAACTATAGTAGGGCTGGCAGATATTTAGCTTCCACAACTATGGTGGGGCTGGCAGACATTTAGCTTCCACAACTATGGTGGGGCTGTCAGACATTTAGCTTCCACAACTATAGTGGGGCTGGCAGACATTTAGCTTCCACAACTATAGTAGGGCTGGTAGACATTTAGCTTCCACAACTATAGTAGGGCTGGTAGACATTTAGCTTCCACAACTATAGTGGGGCTGGCCGACATTTAGCTTCCACAACTATAGTAGGGCTGGCAGACATTTAGCTTCCACAACTATAGTAGGGCTGGCAGACATTTAGCTTCCACAACTATAGTAGGGCTGGCAGACATTTAGCTTCCACAACTATAGTAGGGCTGGTAGACATTTAGCTTCCACAACTATAGTAGGGCTGGTAGACATTTAGCTTCTACAACTATAGTAGGGCTGGCAGACATTTAGCTTCCACAACTATAGTGGGGCTGGCAGACATTTAGCTTCCACAACTATGGTGGGGCTGTCAGACATTTAGCTTCCACAACTATAGTAGGGCTGGCAGACATTTAGCTTCCACAACTATGGTGGGGCTGGCAGACATTTAGCTTCCACAACTATAGTAGGGCTGTCAGACATTTAGCTTCCACAACTATAGTGGGGTTGGCAGATATTTAGCTTCCACAACTATAGTGGGGCTGGCAGACATTTAGCTTCCACAACTATATTGGGGCTTGTAGACATTTAGCTTCCACCACTATGGTGGGGCTGGCAGACATTTAGCTTCCACAACTATAGTGGGGCTGGTAGACATTTAGCTTCCACAACTATGGTGGGGCTGGCAGACATTTAGCTTCCACAACTATAGTGGGGTTGGCAGATATTTAGCTTCCACAACTATAGTAGGGCTGGTAGACATTTAGCTTCCACAACTATAGTGGGGCTGGCAGACATTTAGCTTCCACAACTATAGTGGGGCTGGCAGACATTTAGCTTCCACAACTATAGTAGGGCTGGCAGACATTAAGCTTCCACAACTATGGTGGGGCTGGCAGAAATTTAGCTTCCACAACTAAAGTAGGGCTGGCAGACATTTAGCTTCCACAACTATGGTAGGACTGGCAGACATTTAGCTTCCACAACTATGGTGGGGCTGGCAGACATTTAGCTTCCACAACTATAGTAGGGCTGGCAGACATTAGGCTTCCCCAACTATGGTGGGGCTGGCAGACATTTAGCTTCCACAACTATGGTGGGGCTGGCAGACATTTAGCTTCCACAACTATGGTGGGGCTGGCAGACATTTAGCTTCCACAACTATAGTAGGGCTGGCAGACATTTAGCTTCCACAACTATAGTGGGGCTGGCGAGAAATAGTTATATGTTGTTACTGGCTACATGTAAAACAAATGAAAGAAACAATTATTATGTTGTTACTGGCTACATGTAAAACAAATGAAAGAAACAATTATAATTTTGTTACTGGCAAGATGTAAAACAAATGAAAGAAACAATTATAATGTTGTCACTGGCAACATGTAATGCAAATGAAAGATTTAGAATTGTTTACCTGTTAGTGGACAGATTCATGTTCAGTGTTGGTGTCGACACTTTGAGCTCATGTCTGAGATCTTGTCCTTTCACCGGGCTTGTTTTGGGTGAAGTCTGCCGCTGGGACTTTGGAAGAGGCAAACTAGATGATGATGATGATTGAGGTGTACTACTTTTGCCATGAGCAGACATACAACCAGCTTGTTGACTCGGCAGATTAGAAGATGGTCTGGATGAATCTTCTAAAGCCACAATATGGCTGCTTGATGTTGGAATCACGCGTTCTCCTTTGGACTGGCTAAGGAGATCTGTTGTTCGTTTGGAAGGAGTCGGCATTTGGCGGGAAATGATCAGTGTGGGTGTCTTGGTGGTGGCATTCTGTGGGGACCTGGAGCGGTGTTTGTCAGCAACAGCAGCAGCAGCAGTTGACCCACGCCTGGGAGAAGTTGGTGTGTTTGGAGTGGTTCGGGACACTGAGTTATTTTGTGTGGCAGGCAGACGTTGCTGCGTGACAGCAACCTTGTGAGAAAAACCAGCATTGCTAGGCCGATGACCTATCGACACAGAAAAAAGAGTAACTGCCTTCAGTCAGTCAAATTTGTGATGTACTGAAACAAGTGTGCAAATTAATCATTTCATTTAGTATATTTGATGTAATACCAAACAATTTTTGCTTCTGATAATAGTTGGCCATTGCAGTTTCCTCCATGTATAGATTAAAAAGATATAGTTTCATCACCCAGCTACTGAGCTGAGTGCATGGTGTGACACTGTGAGCTGTGTATTTCTTATGAAATGTTTTTCAACTGTGACTAACATGGCTAATGTTGTGAACTGTAGATTCAGAAATTGATGAAAGGCCTGTTGCTACATGACTAACTGGTATCTTATGTGAATAATTTCATGTGCAACTACTAATCTAATGAAACTGCTGTTTCCATTGATAATGAACTGCATTTCTTCGGTCAGACTGTTTGTGTTGGTATTTCTGATGGCTGTCATATGTATTTTATGAATGTGTGTGCTATTGGATATGCTGAGACTGCAGTTTGTGTTAAGTTTCAGAAAGATACAGTGATGGACAATTTAAGTGATTTTCACTGGCACAATAGTGGCGCAACTATAGGAGCCCTGTTTGTATGAAGAATGGACTGTGATCATTAGCTATACTGACATGGGTGACTGTCCCAGTCACAGTGGGACACTTACCTCAATAGTTACCCTGACATGGGTCACTGTCCCAGACACAGTGGGGCACCTACCTAAACAATTATACTGGCACGTATCACTGTCCCAGATAGAGCGGGACACTTACCTCAATAGTTATACTGACATGGGTGACTGTCCCAGTCACAATGGGACACTTACCTTAATAGTTACCCTGACATGGGTCACTGTCCCAGACACAGAGGGGCACTTACCTAAACAATTATACTGGCATGCATCACTGTCCCAGACAGAGTGGGACACTTACCTCAATAGTTATACTGACATGTATGACTGTCCCCGTCACAGTGGGACACTTACCTAAATAGTTACCCTGACATGGGTCACTGTCCCAGACACAGTGGGACACTTACCTCGATAGTTACACTGGCATGGGTCATGTTTGTTGAGGTAATTTTCTAAAGTGTCCCAGCCACCTCCAACTCTCACCATCACGTGACTGCGAAGAATCTAAAATGACACACAGATATAAGATGGATAAATGGATGAGCTGACAAACTAACAGATAGGACATATAAATATAGAGACAGAAAGTCATGTACATAAACATAAATAACAGATAAACAGACAGGACAAATAAACAGACAGGACAGATAAACAGACAGGACAGATAAATAGGGAGACTGACAGGCAGGAAAACAAACATACAGCACAGAAAAATAGAGAGACAGATAGACACGTACGCAAACATACAGGACACATAAAAAGAGAGACAGACAGACAGGTACAAAAACATACAGCACAGAAAAATAGGGAGACAGACAGGTACAAAAACATACAGCACAGAAAAATAGGGAGATTGACAGACAGGTATAAATACATACAGCACAGAAAAATAGGGAGACTGACAGACAGGTATAAATACATACAGCACAGAAAAATAGGGAGACTGACAGGTACACAAACATACAACACAGAAAAATAAGGAGACTGACAGACAGATACACAAACATACAGCACAGAAAAATAGGGAGACTGACAGACAGGTACACAAGCATACAGCACAGAAAAAAAGGGAGACTGACAGACAGGTACACAAACATACAGCACAGAAAAATAGGGAGACTGACAGACAGGTACACAAACATACAGCACAGATAAAAAGAGAGATAGACAGACAGGTACACAAACATACAGGACAGATAAAAAGAGAGATAGACAGACAGGTACACAAACATACAGGACAGATAAAAAGAGAGATAGACAGACAGGTACACAAACATACAGCACAGAAAAAATAGGGAGACAAGACAGGTACACAAACATACAGGACAGATAAAAAGAGAGATAGACAGACAAGTACACAAACATACAGGACAGATAAAAAGAGAGATAGACAGACAGGTACACAAACATACAGGACAGATAAAAAGAGAGATAGACAGACAAGTACACAAACTTTCAGTACAGATAAATGGGGAGACAGACAAGTACAAAAATATGCAGAGCAGATAAATAAGTTTAAGGTTTTGAAGATGGGATCAACATCATGGCACAGGGGTAGTAACTCATGAGTGCTCCATGCTTCTTCTAACTCAAGTCTGAGCCCACAGAAGCTCAGCACAGTGCACAGGCTTTCTACCACCGGCCTGGGTCTTGCAATACTTTGGGTAGATTTTAAACTCCAAATTTACTCCGGACAGCCCCGTTAGGCTACTCTTTTCGATTTCCAACTGCCAAGGGATGTTTTACATGCGCAACAATGCACACAGGCATCCGATCTCACTACCCAGAAACCAGGGGAATTACTAGAAGTCCAAGTCCACGTCAAAAAGCGAGGATTGAACCCAAACCTTTATTACTCAAGGCAGATACTGTCTACAGACCATGCCACCCCCTATATAGATAGGAAAACAGACAGAAAAGTCCACAAACATACAGAACAAAAAATAGACAGCCCATCATGAGGCCCCACTCTGTAATTCAATCAAACAGCCTATCATGAGGCCCCACTCTGTAATTCAATCAAACAGCCTATCATGAGGCCCCATTCTGTAATTCAATCAAACAGCCCATCATAAGGCCCCACTAAATGGTTCAATCAAACAGCCCATCATAAGGCCCCACTAAATGGTTCAATCAAACAGCCCATCATAAGGCCCCACTAAATGGTTCAATCAAACAGCCCATCATAAGGCCCCACTAAATGGTTCAATCAAACAGCCCATCATAAGGCCCCACTAAATGGTTCAATTAAACAGCCCATCATAAGACCCCACTAAATGGCTTAATCAAACAGCCCATCATAAGGCTCCACTAAATGGTTCAATCAAACAGCCCATCATAAGGCCCCACTAAATGGTTCAATCAAACAGTCCATCATAAGGTCCCACTAAATGGTTCAATCAAAAGGCCTAACATGAAGCCCCACTAAATGGTTCAATCAAACAGCCTATCATAAGGCCCCACTAAATGGTTCAATCAAACAGTCTATCATCAAGCTCCACTAAATGGTTCAATCAAACAGCCCATCCTGAGGCCCCACTAAATGGTTCAATTAAACAGCCCATCATAAGGCCCCACTAAATGGTTTAATAAAACAGCCTTTCATTAGCCCCCATTAAATGGTTTAATCAAACAGCCCATCATAAGGCCCCACTAAATGGTTCAATCAAACAGTCCATCATAAGGCCCCACTAAATGGTTTAATCAAACAGCCCATCCTGAGGCCCCACTAAATGGTTCAATCAAACAGTCCATCATAAGGCCCCACTGAATGGTTCAATAAAACAGCTGTAGTGAGTCATTTTCTCCTCATTAATTTATGCCCGATAGATGACGTCAGTAATAGATGTAAGACGAATGTTTTGACTGGTTGAGATAACACGAGATTTATGTCTTGAGTTTTATGAGAGACATCTGAAAGTCAGGTTTTATGTGAAACATGATTGTTCACAGGATTTGTGTGAAATGTGAATTATCACGGGCCAGACACGACTTTTAACAGTGGGAAATTCGTGAGAATGAATCCAGAATATTCTAGAATAGGATAGATCAGAGGGCTATATAATAGCGAGGAAAAGGTTTGTGGGCAGTCTCGTTTTGGACCTAGGAACAGTGTGCATGGACAGCGGTGGATGATGTGTAGATTCAGCAGATGTTTTTGTGAGTGAATTTGTTCCGGTCCAACTTGGCGAAAAAAGCTGGCCAGTAATATGTCTGCGGGTCGTCTGAGTTTATCGGTCAGGACAGCTGCTGTGTTTCGTTCAAGATGTTAGTGTGATTGTGATTTCTGCTTGAAGGTAATTTGTGACACTTGCATTATAATGTGTGCCTGGACAGTTGTCAAGTTCATGTGCCGGCTGTGTAAGCCGCGAGTGGAAGATTAAAGTACTGGAACAGTATCGTGTGTTTTTCCCAGTCGTCCATTTTTTCTGCTCGTCGTGTGATGTCGGTTTTTGTGAGTTGGCAGCGAGCGTGCGATGAGGCGAGCCAGTAGATCAGTAGAAGATAAAAGAGAATCATCGCACAGCCCATCATAAGGCTCCACTAAATGGTTCAATCAAACAGCCCATCCTGAGGCCCCCTAAATGGTTCAATCAAACAGCCCATCATAAGGCCCCACTAAATGGTTCAATCAAACAGCCTATCATAAGGTCCCACTAAATGGTTCAATCAAACAGTCTATCATGAAGCTCCACTAAATGGTTCAATCAAACAGCCCATTATAAGGCCCCACTAAATGGTTTAATCACACAGCCCATCCTGAGGCCCCACTAAATGGTTCAATTAAACAGCCCATCATAAGGCCCCACTAAATGGTTTAATAAAACAGCCTTTCATGAGCCCCCATTAAATGGTTCAATCAAACAGCCCATCATAAGGCCCCACTCTGTAATTCAATCAAACAGCCTATCATGAGGCCCCACTAAATGGTTCAATCAAACAGCCCATCATAAGGCCCCACTAAATGGTTCAATCAAACAGCCCATCATAAGGCCCCACTAAATGGTTCAATCAAACAGCCCATCCTGAGGCCCCACTAAATGGTTCAATCAAACAGCCCATCATAAGGCTCCACTAAATGGTTCAATCAAACAGCCCATCCTGAGGCCCCACTAAATGGTTCAATAAAACAGCCCATCATAAGGCCCCACTAAATGGTTCAATCAAACAGCCCATCCTGAGGCCCCACTGAATGGTTCAATCAAACAGCCCATCATAAGGCTCCACTAAATGGTTCAATCAAACAGCCCATCCTGAGGCCCCACTAAATGGTTCAATCAAATAGCCTATCATAAGGCCCCACTAAATTGATAAATCAAACAGCCCATCATGAAGCCCCCACTAAATGTTTCAATCAATAACCCATCATAAGGCTCTACTCTGTGGTTAAGTCAGACTGCATGCCAGTTATATCATATATATGACCTAATTTGACCATGAGGATAATACCGAGCTATCAAACAACATAACTTGATGATGAGAATGAAAATTTGCTATTAAACAGATAACTTGATGAGGATAATTCCCAGTTTTTAAACAGGTAACTTAACTTAATGATGAAGATAATAGTTGAAAAAGAAAAAGGTAATTTAAAGAAATGTAGAACTTACCCTCACAAAGATGAGGCTGCGGGAATCCCCAATCTTGTATTTACCTTCGCCAACTTTGATCATGGGAAACTGAACTGGGCAAGTGCATCGACCAATCAAATCTCGTACCTGTGATCACATGATGACAGTATTTGAACAATGAATGACAAGAAATGAAAGAAAGACTATGGGAAGAACAGCTTGCACTAAATTCCTTAAGAAACAAAAGATGAAATGGCTTGGTCATCTTACTAGAATGCCGCTGCAAAACTAACAACAGTGGTTGGTATTACAGAGACCTCACTGGTGAGCAAGAGGGTGGCTATGGAGCATATGGACTGATGACATTACAGACATTGTATATTCACACAGCAGAGAGAAAGACTAACAAACAAAGTAAACCCCATCAGGATAGAGATAGATGAATGTTGTTAACTGATTAGAAAAGTTTGAAGCAGGCAATTTTTTTTTTTTTTACTCGAAAACTTGGTAACAACTGGCAAGATTGATGGAAAGACAGGGAGAAGAAGGCAAAGAGTTGAGCTATCTGTGTCACATACAACAATTCTGGGTCATATACAACTATTCTGGGTCACTACAACAATTCTGGGTCATATACAACAATTCTGGGTCACATACAAAAATTCTGGGTCACATACGGCAATTCTCTACTTGATGATCACACTTGATGGAAAGAAAACGAGAGGAAGGCAAAGAGTTGAGTTATCTGGGTCACATACAACAATTCTGGGTCACATACAACAATTCAAGGTCACATACAACAATTCTCTACTTCATCAGGCTTGATGAACACACTTGATGGAAAGAGAGCGAGAGGAAGGCAAAGAGTTGAGTTATCTGGGACACATACAACAATTCTCTACTTCATCAGGCTTGATGATCACACTTGATGGAAGCTGTAGAGATCAGATTCCTGGCATTGTTGACACTTTAGTCAGAACTCTGATTAACGAAAACACAGATAAAGGTGATGCTATAGTTTACACAGATGGGTCAGTAATTAGGGGCAAGTGAAGTGCTTGGGCATTCATAGTAAGCTCAATGGGGGAAAACCATCAAGGAGATGAATGGCGCCTTTGCTGTTACAACTAGTAGCCTTTCAATGGAAACTATGGCTGTAACAAGAGCTTTAGCATGGCCTGGTACTCAAAGGTGCACACATGTATGCTTTCTTAGTGACTCGATGAATTTGCTTAAAAGAATCCAAACTGGATTTATCAGGCAAGAATAGCAACTCTCTCTTCGACAAATAGCCACTTTCTAATCTACAAATTGCCACTCTCTTATCTACAAAAAAAAACCACTCTCTCTCTCATCTACAAATAGCTTTATATCATCCACATTCTTTAACAAATACAAATTTTCACATCCACAAATAAATACTTTCTCATCTACAAATAGACACTCTCTCATCCACGAATAGCCACTCTCTCATCTACAAATAGCCACTCTCTCATCTACAAATAGCCACTCTCTCATCCACAAATAGACACTCTCTCATCCACGTATAGCCACTCTCTCACCTACAAATAGCCACTCTCTCATCTACAAATAGCCACTCTCTCATCTACAAATAGCCACTCTCTCATCTACAAATAGCCACTCGCTCATCTACAAATAGCCACTCTCTCATCTACAAATAGCCACTCTCACATTCATGAATAGCCACTCTCTCATCTACAAATAGCCACTCTCTTTCTACAAATAGTCACTCTTTCATCCACAAATATTCACTCTCTCATCCACAAATAGCCACTCTAATTCATCCACAAAAAGTCACTCTCTCATCCACAAATATTCACTCTCTCATCCACAAATATTCACTCTCTCATCCACAAATATTCACTCTCTCATCCACAAACAGTCACTCTCTCATCCACAAACAGTCACTCTCTCATCCACAAACAGTCACTGTCTCATCCACAAATATTCACTCTCTCATCCACAAATATTCACTCTCTCATCCACAAACAGTCCCTATTTCATCCACAAACAGTCACTCTCTCATCCACAAATATTCACTCTCTCATCCACAAATTTTCACCCTCTCATCCACAAATATCCACTCTCTCATCCACAAACAGTCACTCTTTCATCCACAGTCACTCTCTCATCCACAAATATTCACTCTCTCATCCACAAACAGTCACTCTTTCATCCACAAACAGTCACTCTCTCATCCACAAACAGTCACTCTCTCTCTCATCCACAAATATTCACTCTCTCATCCAAAGTCACTCTCTCTCATCAACAAACAGTCACTCTTTTATTCACAAACAGTCACTCTTTCTTCCACAAATACTCACTCTCTCATCTAGAGATCTCATGTCACAGGTGATGATCTGAACGTGAGGTTTTGGTTCTTCCCCAGCCAATTCAGCATCAATTTCTTGCTCCATCTGGATCAGAGTTGGTGCCAGCATTCCTAGCTTGGCCCCCACCTGTGGAGACCAGAAATTACCAAATCTCATGTATATATGTAACAAATATTTGTTGTCAAAGATAAGGCGAATCATCATCGAGCACTACAGTGAGGTGGGAGAGGAAAGAGGGTGTTTACACTCATGCTCTCTCACAAACATTTATCCTGTGTTTATACTCATGCTCTCTCACAAACATTTATCCTGTGTTTTTCAAAACTATAGATCATTCTGAGTTCCACTGTCACACTGTCCAGCACTTACTGTCTGTTCAAGATATATACCTGGTCTGTTCAAGATATCACATACCTGGTCTGTTCAAGATATCACATACCTGGTCTGTTCAAGATATCACATACCTGGTCTGTTCAAGATATTACATACCTGATCCTTTCAAGATATCACATACCTGGTCTGTTCAAGATATCACATACCTGGTCTGTTCAAGATGTCACAAAGCTGGTCTGTTCAAGATATCACATACCTGGTCTGTTCAAGATGTCACATACCTGGTCTGTTCAAGATGTCACATACCTGGTCTGTTCAAGATGTCACATACCTGGTCTGTTCAAGATATCACATACCTGGTCTGTTCAAGATATCAAATACCTGGTCTGTTTAAGATATTACATACCTGGTCTGTTCAAGATATTACATACCTTGTCTGTTCAAGATATTACATACCCTGTCTGTTCAAGATATTACATACCCTGTCTGTTCAAGATATTACATGCCCTCTCTGTTCAAGATATTACATACCTTGTCCAAGATATTACATTTCTTGTCTGTTCAAGATATTACATACCCTGTCTGTTAAAGATATTATATACCTTGTCTGTTCAAGATAATAAATACCCTGTCTGTTCAATATATCACATACCCTGTCTGTTCAAGATATCACACACCCTGTCTGTTTAAGATATTACATACCCTGTCTGTTCAAGATATTACATTTCTTGTCTGTTCAAGATATTACATTTCTTGTCTGTTCAAGATATTACATACCTTGCCTGTTAAATCATATACCCTGTCTGTTGAAGATGTCACATACCTTATCTGTTCAAGATATTACATACCCTGTATATTTATGTACAGGAGAAGATATCACATACCCTGTATATTCATGTACAGGAGAAGATATCACATACCCTGTATGTTCATGTACAGGAGACGATATCACATACCCTGTCTTTGTTGTCCATTTAAAGATCATCTTTGTCGCACATCAGACTTGACCATAAGTGCTCCGATCCCCTCCTGAGTGCACATCAGACATGACCATAAGTGCTCTGACCCCCTCCTGAGTGCACATCAGATATGACCATAAGTGCTCCGATCCCCTCCTGAGTGCACATCAGACTTGACCATAAGTGCTCTGACCCCCTCCTGAGTGCACATCAGATATGACCATAAGTGCTCTGAGATCCTCCTGAGTGCACATCAGACTTGACCATAAGTGATCTGACCCCTCCTGAGTGCACATCAGATATGACCATAAGTGCTCTGATCCCCTCCTGAGTGCACATCAGACATGACCATAAGTGCTCTGACCCCCTCCTGTGTGCACATCAGATATGACCATAAGTGCTCCAATCCCCTCCTGAGTGCACATCAGACTTGACCATCAGTGCTCTGACCCCTCCTGAGTGCACATCAGATGTGACCATAAGTGCTCCGATCCCCTCCTGAGTGCACATCAGACTTGACCATAAGTGCTCTGACCCCCTCCTGAGTGCACATCAGATATGACCATAAGTGCTCTGATCCCCTCCTGAGTAAATCTTTAAGTGTTATTTATTAGTCTAAAAACTCCCATTCTGTTCTGGCTGGCGTAATGACGAGTGGCTCCCACATGGTTTTCCTGTCTCACTGCTCCAGTTCGTACACACAGGGTATGCAGTCTCTTCAGTGAGAAGTTATTTTCCACAATACTGAAAGCCTCACAGCATTTAGTCTCTGGTATAGCATTGATGATGTCTCTCCTGTCCATAGATGGCTCATTCCTGATAGTGGCACTATCAGCCAGTGTGTCTGCTTTCTCATTGCCTTTCACACCAGCATGACTTGGGACAAAACAAAATGGTGATTTTGTGAAACACTGCATGTTATATCAGATGGATCCACTGTTTATGTATATGCCCTACCTCGATACTGACTTGTCAGGGAGATAACCACCACAAAATACTGCTGTTATTTATTTGGTATGGGTATCCATTCCTCTCCCTGGTTTATGTCTTGAAGGGAAATCACCCGATGAAGTAGTATCTCTGCACGGCCCAACCAAGACCAGCCTTGTTTTAGTCTGTTGCCTTTACGTGTATGTAGTTCATCGTGCAGTGGATTTGTAAAGACCTAAGTGATTTTGAGTTAGGCACACAGATGATGCATTTCAAGCCTGCTATTTATATCTGGAAGATCTAGTAGGTATCTCATTGCTCTGCATGATGTGTCTCTGGTGCGGGCAAGTATGATGCACATTGCTTCATTTTGTAGCTTTTCAAGCCTGTGGATTTGTGTCTTGCTGAGGGTGCGGATTGCCAGTGCATATTGTATGACGGAGAGGATCAAACACTGAAAGAGGATGACTAGCAACCTTTGCTGACCACACATGGCAGCCAAAACTCTTACTGCAGCCAAACCCTTTCTGGCCTTGATGATCATAGTATCAACTTGGAATCTGTAGCTAAGGCTCCAATCAAAACTCTCTCCTAGATATTTTTAAAGTTCAGTCCTTGCTATCTCTTCACCATTCACATGCACAGAGGGCATCATTGTGTGTACTATGTAATTGTTCAGCGGTGCTGGTGGCTTAGGCGTTGTGAGTCTGACTCACCGCGATCAAAACCCACTGCTGATCGACCCAGCCCAAAATGGTTACCAGGATGGCTGTCCTGGGAAAGTAAAGACGGCCGGTGTAATGCTGACCACATTACCCATCCAGTGCTCCGGAGGTTTGACCCTAATCTGTGCTCCTGAGGTTTGACACTAATCTGTGCTCTGGAGGTTTGACACTAATCTGTGCTCCAGGGGTTTGACACTAATCTGTGTTTCCAGAGGTTTGACACTAATCTGTGCTCTGGAGTTTTGACACTAATCTGTGCTTAAGAGATTTGACCCTAATATGTGCTTCAGAGGTTTGACCCTATTCTGTGCTCTGGACGTTTGACACTAATCTGTGTTTTGGAGGTTTGACACTAATCTGTGCTCCAGAGGTTTGACCCTAATCTGTGCTCTGGAGGTTTGACCCTAATCTGTGCTCCTGGAATTTGACACTAATCTGTGCTCCAGAGGTTTGACACTAATCTGTGCTCCAGAGGTTTGACACTAATCTGTGCTCCGGAGGTTTGACACTAATCTGCTGTGCGTCCCAGTTCCTTTTGGAGTTCTACAATTCTGCACCTATTCTTGCCTTGGTGGTATGCTAGTATGTCATCAGCTAATGAGAACGTTCTTCCTTATTTTGTTACCTCTATACTGAAGAGGTCTGAATAAACGTGATCACGAGGCAATCCTGGGTGTATGATTTTCAACTCCAAGATCCATCTTCCACATTTGAAAATGAACTGTCTCTAGAAGAGTGCTGCTGCTTTCCAGTGAATGAGTACTAGGGAAATGTTGATATTTAGAAGTGGGTATATGAGTGTTGGAGAAATGTTGATATTTAGAAGTGGGTATATGAGTATTGGGGAAATGTTGATATATAGGAGCTGGTGTAAGAGTATTGGAGAAATGTTGATATATAGGAGCTGGTGTATGAGTACTGGGGAAATGTTGATATTTAGAAGCTGGTGTATGAGTACTAGAGAAATGTTGATATATAGGAGCTGGTGTATGAGTATTGGAGAAATGTTGATATATAGGAGCTGGTGTATGAGTATTGGAGAAATGTTGATATATAGGAGCTGGTGTATGAGTATTCGAGAAATGTTGATATTTAGGAGTGGGTATATGAGTATTGGAGAAATGTTGATATATAGGAGTGGGTATATGAGTTTTGGAGAAATGTTGATATATAGGAGTGGGTATATGAGTTTTGGAGAAATGTTGATATATAGGAGCTGCTGTATGAGTATTGGAGAAATGTTGATATATAGGAGCTGGTGTATGAGTATTGGAGAAATGTTGATATATAGGAGCTGGTGTGTGAGTATTGGAGAAATGTTGATATATAGGAGCTGGTGTATGAGTATTGGAGAAATGTTGATATATAGGAGCTGGTGTGTGAGTATTGGGGAAATGTTGATATTTAGAAGCTGCTGTATGAGTATTGAAGAAATGTTGATATATAGGAGCTGGTGTATGAGTATTAGGGAAATGTTGATATATAGGAGCTGGTGTATGAGTATTGGAGAAATGTTGATGTATAGGAGCTGGTGTATGAGTATTAGGGAAATGTTGATATATAGGAGCTGGTGTGTGAGTATTGGAGAAATGTTGATATATAGGAGCTGGTGTATGAGTATTGGAGAAATGTTGATGTATAGGAGCTGGTGTATGAGTATTAGGGAAATGTTGATATATAGGAGCTGATGTATGAGTATTGGAGAAATGTTGATATATAGGAGCTGATGTATGAGTATTGGAGAAATGTTGATATATAGGAGCTGGTGTATGAGTATTGGAGAAATGTTGATATATAGGAGCTGGTGTATGAGTATTGGAGAAATGTTGATATATAGGAGCTGATGAATAAGTATTGGAGAAATGATATATAGGAGCTGGTATATGAGTATTGGAGAAATGTTGATATATAGGAGCTGATGTATGAGTATTGGAGAAATGTTGATATATAGGAGCTGGTGTATGAGTATTGGAGAAATGTTGATATATAGGAGCTGGTGTATGAGTATTGGAGAAATGTTGATATATAGGAGCTGATGAATAAGTATTGGAGAAATGATATATAGGAGCTGGTATATGAGTATTGGAGAAATGTTGATATATAGGAGCTGATGTATAAGTATTGTGGAAATGATATATAGGAGCTGGTGTATGAGTATTGGGGAAATGATATATAGGAG